AGATTGTCCAAGTATATTTAAATAATAATCTGGCACGTATTAATTAAATATTGACAAATAAGTGTGTAGAGATAAGAATAAAATTTTGTGTAAATCTAATATATATATATATATATATATATATATATATATATATATATATATATATATATATATATATATAGAGAGAGAGAGGCTTAGGTTATTCTATTAAAACTAATTATTGTGTTATTGTATGCATAAATGTGGGTCAATCAAATTTACTTATTTTAAAAAAGTGATTAATATATATTATTGAAATGAATATAATTGAAAATATCGTTTTAATTAATTACAAGGGTAACTTAGTCAATTAATATAGATTTAATAAAGGAAAATTGTATTTTTTTTTTAGGGATCATAGGTTCTATTAATTTTAAAAATCCGATTTTAAGAATTATAATTCTTTTAATTCGGACATTCTAACAGAATATGTTTATGAGTATATTCAAAAATAAAAATATTCTTGAACCATAAATAATAAAAATATTCTTGAACCTATTTCTTGATAATGAATTTAAAAACTTATTGTAGAATAACAAATTCTTGAACAATCAATTGAATAATAAAAATAAAAAATACATTATCTCTTATAGAATACTGGTAACAATTGTTAAGAATTACATTTGTTGTTAAAGAATGAAACTAAAAAACAATCAAAACGGCAAAGAAAACATCAAAATCTAACAACGAGTAATACATTCTAAAAGAATAACGTGGTCTGTTTCAATTTTGTGGTATGTTCTTCAAGCATCAACTTATGTGATTCCAACAGAATTGGAATTCGTGGTTCCATTCTAATAGAATTGGAATCTCACCAATATCATCCATTGAATCATGTACATAAACATACTTGATACCTTTTCAGAATTCAACCTTGTCAAAATCCTGCACTGTCCACGTAAATAAAGTGTTAAATCAGGAAAAAAAATCGAATGAAAAGCAAATTAATCATTTCCTGTCAAAAGAATTAGAAATTAAACAAAAAAATAACAAATGAAAAACTGAAATCAAGAACCCTAATTTGAACAAAGAAGATGGAGATGGTCGATGAAGTGATTAGTAGTGTTCACAATGGATATATGGAACATATAATTGGAGCAATACGAGAAAAAAAATCTTTCAATTTCTTCCTTGGAAACAAAATCGTGATTACAATCGGAACGAGAAAGATTGTGATGAAAAACGAAGACTGTCAAAATCGAAAGAATGATGAGTTACCTGCGAAGGAAAGAAACCTGATTGATGTAAGGACGTTCTTGGTGGTCAACAAAAAAGTCAAAATTGTGTATCTCATGGTATGAACGATCTCACCTGCGAACGCTCGCTTTTGGATGTGTAATGCGATCAAATGAAATCTGAATCGAAAATTAATCAGGGTGAACAACTGAGAACGTCTTCCTACGAACGTTTGTTGATGGTTGATTCGGAACGAACGGCTCAGAATCGGCACTGTAATTGATCGATTCAAAAGGAACGGGCTCACAATTGAAATGTGATAGGTCTCGGATTCGTAACTCCCATGAACATCAAAAATCGAACCTGTGCTCGGAAAGAAGGTTTGATCGGGGTTGTTTTGCTATTTGGATTCAAGGTTCATGTTATGTTTAACGATTGGTAATTGTTGTTTGCGTTTGTTTGATTAATTGGGGAAAGAAGGGTAGGGTGGCGACCGGTGGTGGGAGGCATAAGGATGTAGGTGACGGCTGGAGATGGTTTGATTAGGGTTACGGTGGTTTTAAAAAGCCTAGTAGCTGAAGTCAATGGTTACCATAATTATAGGATATTATTTGTGGAAACTAATTATCAAATGACATATTTACCCTTATTTATTTATTTACTTATTTATTTTTATTTTGCATTTTGATTGGCCCATATTCATGCATACAATAACACAATAATTAGTTTAAACACCTGAACATATATATATATATATATATATATATATATATATATATATATATATATATATATATATATATATATTGAGAGAGAGAGAGAGAGAGAAAATGATTCAAATGAGAACCCAAAAAGATTAAGAACTTAAGAACCATTTTTTAAAATATTTTCATTAATGTCATTTTGGACAAATCCAACATTTATATTGTATTAATCAAACTTTTTCATTCCCTAATTTACAACCGGTTGCCATTTGTCATCGTACCACTATTGGACCGACACTAGACTACCATCAGACCACTGTTGGATTAACACCAAATTCAGGGACATTTATGCTCATATTCACAGCTTCATAGAAGAAATATTGTATTTAGTAATACTTTTAACACAAACCACTTCATTTTTGCAGTCAAATATAAAAACCATTTCATTTTTGCAGCCAAATATAAAAATTTAATAATTAAAAAAAAAAAGAATTATGTCTTTATAAATTCAATTTTCTCTATTTTAAATTGTAGAGTTCTTTAAAAATATATATCATTTATAAGACATATTCACTGTTTAAATTACCATATGCACAATTTAATTGACATATTAATTTATTAATATGCAGCTTAATATATTCATGCATATATTCATTCATATTTTAACACAAAAATTATATAATATATACAATTTAATATAGTCTATTTTTAGTTTAGTACATAAAATTCTTAACACAATACAATCCATTATACATTAATTCACAAATTCAAATAAGTTAAACCCAAATCTACCACCACTACCAACTACCGCACACATCCACCAACTACATATGCCACTTTCGTAACCATCTTTCTGTCGAAATGTCCAAATTAAACATGTATATGAATTCATAGATCAATAGCTTAAATATTAGATTCACAGTTTAATAAACCAATTAATTTACTAATTAAGAATTTAATACAAAATAAATATGAAACTAATATATTATTACATATTTATTCAACACAAAAATAAATATATTCCCAAAAATTAATACGAACATTCATACATAATATTTGTCATATTTTAACGTAAAATTCATAAAAAATTCACAATTTAATATTATTTAATTCACAATTTAATACAATTAATTTACAGTTAAAACACAAAATTCACAACTTAATATAATAAATTCATTGTTTAATACACATAAATTATATATTCACAACCTTATTTTCAACTTAAAACTTACATTTATACTTTCATATCTATACACTAGTGTGTTTTTAAAGTTTATTTACACAAATATTCACAGCTTAAATCTTACATACTTTATTCAAAATTAGATAAAATCATATATGTATAATTCTTAGTTCGTCTCATATTTCATAAGCAACCAAAAAAATCATAAAAAAAATCACAACTTAACAAAGTTAATTCAAAACTTAATACAATCAATTCACAGTTTAATATAGTAAATTCACAGTTTAATATAGTCAATTCACAGTTTAATATATTCAAATGAAAGCTTAATACAGCTAATTCACAGTTTAATACAGTCAAATTACAGTTTAATACATAAAATTTATAATTTAATATATAAAGTCAATCCAACTATTTATTAAAATACTAATTTCTATTTCTTCCACCTATACAACTCAATTAAATAAACTTTCACTTCCATTAACAACATTACCTAAATCATTTTTTTATTATGATATAAAAATATTTAGAATTGGTAAGTAGGGATGGCAACGGGGCGGGTTTGGGACGGGTTTTGGTAATCCCGCCCCCATCCCCGAATATGAAAATCGATCCCATCACCGGCTCAATTCCCAACGGGTATTCTTTTACCAAACACTATCGGGTCTGCGGGTATCCCAACGGGGTAACGAGGATCCCCGTTTAACATTCAAATTAAAAATAATTTTGATGAAATGAGAATACAAACCATTAGACTTAGTGATGCAAACATAAATTCATATCCAAAATAATTTTGATAATTTACAAAACTACTAAGAGCATACATATTTATTCTGATACATAAGTGGTTACTAGTGGCAACAAAAACAATAAAGACACTAGCATTCATAAACCATAATATCACTATTACTCTAAGTAATATAAATAAAAAAAAATGTCAAAACACTAGCATTACAAATAAACACGAAGCCATCTCAAGAAATTATCTTTAAATCGTTCACAACAAAGAAGATAACTCAATGAAATTAATATACATACATACATACATACATACATATATATATATATATATATATATATATATATATATATATATATATATATATATATATATATATCATATTAACGGTTTCAGGTAACGGGTTTCGGTTTTGGTTTTGGTTTCGGGCAATCGGGACGGGTATTTTGTTTACCGTCCCCGTAACCAAACCCACAAAAATTTTCTAAAGCATACCAAACCCGATCCCGATCCCAATTAACCGACCCCAAACCCGACCCTAATATGTCGGTTTTCGGTTTTCTCCATCGGGTTCGGTTTCTTTTGCCATCCCTATTGGTAAGCTTATAATCCTTTGAAATAACTAAAATACTTAATATATAATAATATTTGGAAACGATTAAAAAGATAATAAAATGCTTCTAAAATCGTGTACGTATATAAAATAATTAAATAATGGTTGGAATGACGAAGACTTGGTTGGATTGTATAGTGAAAATTATAATGGTTTTATAATGTGCACTTAAAGTCCAACGGTCCAAAGAAATAGTCACAAGTACAAATAGGCTAAGAGTGACACTATTCACGCATAAATATTTAGCTTGCAACCTAAGGAAGAAAAAAGTCAAAAGCTAGTAGTAAATTACTCGATAACCGTATATGCATTTAATAGGGTTAATGACTTAGGAGGGTAATAACGTTTCTCATTTGTTCATTCTAGGTCCTTAATATTTTTTTTTTGTATATTACACCATTAAGGTTCTAATAACCGTTTATATATAGTCATTTAACCGACTTCTTCCTGTTTTGCTTAGTTGGCATCTTACGTGTTCGGTGGCATGGCTATAACTACCAGATTCACATAAGGTCCCATATTTCTTGTGCCCTAATTTGAAGAGTTGAAGAAGAAGAGAAGAAGATGTCGTCGCAAACCTCCTTTACCTCGACCTCAAACAACCGAATCATGTACTACTGTAGGCTCCCTACTCGGATTCGAGTCTCCACTACACACCAAAATCCAGGGAAAAGATTCAGAACATGCCCTAATTCGTTGGTAATGTCCAATTTTTAAGATTGAAGCTTTTCTCTTTAAATCTCTATTATAAGTGTGTAAGTTATGACATTTATCCTAAAGCTTTTTTTTCGTTTTTTATAGAGAGCAGGGAGAAAATGTGGATTTTGGGAATGGGTTGCTGAAGATCCGGTCACAGAGGAGATTTTTGGTCTTAGATATGAGTTGAATGAAATGAAGAAGAAGATGCATCACTATAAAGTAGCATTGATTGTGTTGTTTGTCTTGTTCTTTGTTAAGTTATTTTGAATGGAGTTATGATGCAGTAGACATCTTTTGAATATAAAGGGTACCCATAATTTTGTTATTTTGATTGTAAGGGTACCCATAATGTAATGAAATCATATGTATGAATGCAAATGAAGCTTTTGGTAATGAAATCTATCATTGTAATACAAACACCACTTTAAAGTGTATGATTCAACATTGAAGGGTAATATTGTCAACAACAATTATAATGAAGCAGTTAATTATATTAAAGGGTAGTATTGTCAACAACAGTTATAATGAAGCAGTTAACTATATTAAAGGGTAATATTGTCAACAATAATTATAATGAAGCAGTTAACTATATTAAAGGGTAATATTATCAACAACAATTATAATTGTCAACAATAATTATAATGAAGCGGTTAACTATATTAAAGGGTAACTATATTAAAGGGTAATATTATCAACAATAATTATAATGAAGCAGTTAACTATATTAAAGGGTAATATTATCAACAACAATTATAATGAAGCAGTTAACTATATTAAAGGGTAATATTGTCAACAATAATTATAATGAAGCAGTTAATTATATTAAAGGGTAATATTGTCAACAATAATTATAATGAAGCAATTAATTATATAATCAACCAATAATTATAATGAAAGGTAGTATTGTCAACAATAATTATAATGAACAACCAAATTGAACATAATGTAATGAACCAAGATGATTCAACAGAAAATATAATCAACCAATTGTCAACATCTGCAAAGTATATGATTCAACAACCAAGATGCAGTTAAAAGATTTAAACAGATGCGGTTAATATATTTAAACAGAAAATATTGTGACAAACAAACACTCTTAAAAAGGTGTTCCCATTCACCAACAAAAGAGCATCGAAAGAGGGAGTGTTTTGTCCCTTAGTCTAGTACAACATCACATTTAATATCAAAAGATTCCACCCTCACATGCCTACCCAACATGCATACATAAGAAAACAAAACATTACAACATAAAACCTGCAATCAACCTAGATCTATAGGTTTCCCTGAGCTACAACCACTACCATCCTTGGTCACCACTTTTTTCCTCAGGCACATCTTGGTGATTCTTTCAGAAGCTTTCCTCTTCCTCACTTAAACTGCTCTACGAAATGGTCTTGCAGAAGTAGATCTTTGCCTTTGTTGTGGATCTTGGAGTTGGATGTGGATTTGCAGAAGTTGGAATTGGAGCTGGAGTTGGAATTGGGGTGGATCTTGGAGTTTGAATTAGAGTTGAAGTTCGAATTGGAGTTGGAATTGGGGTGGATCTTGGAGTTTGAATTAGAGTTGAAGTTGGAACTGGAGTTGGAATTGAAGCTGGAATTGGAGTTGGAATTGGAGTTGAAGTTGGAATTGGAATTGGAATTGGAGTTGAAGTTGGAATTGGAGTTGGAATTGGAGCTGGAGTTGGAATTGGAGTTGGAATTGGAGTTGCAATTGGAGTTGATCTTGGAGTTGGAATTGGAGCTGGAGTTGAAGATGCTGGATCCGGATCACCTGTGGTTGGATTTTTTTTGTTGGGCACCCTTTTTTGTTATGCCCACTAACATAGCAGATTGAACACTTTTGCACCTGCTTTACTCTTGATATTGTGTGTGTGCTTGATATCTCCCTTTCTGCTACACTTTTTCTCCTATTAGTAGATGGCCTTCCAGGTAGCCTTCTACTCTTTCGGGGTAAAGGCTTTGTGTAGTCACTTTGTGTCCACAGAGAGCTATCATTCAAAGGATGAATAATATATTTATAGCAGTTGAGATAAGTTGCCTTACTGTAACAACTAGCTACATAATCCTCTGAGTTCAAGTTCATGGATGAAATTGCAGCCACTCCATGTACAAAAGGTATGCCAGTCAACTGCCATCTCCTACATCCACAAGTCCTTCTGATCAGGTCAACTGCATACCTATCATTACATAACACCACCTCAAATTGTTGATATCCACAAGGGTACACTGCCCGGAATCTGTACATAAACATTAAACAAGTAAGACCACATGAACAAATGTATATTTATGCTAAATAACAAGTAAATACAAACATTCTTACCTCTGTTTGTCCTTCAAATCTGCTATTTTCTTCCTAATGGATGGGCATATAGTTAAATCCCAAGACTCTCCCTTAGTCCTCTGATAGTATAACCTCTGCATCACATAAACCCTGATATCCTCCAACATTGTTATTATTGGTTTATGTCTAGCCTCAACTATTTTAGCATTAAAACTCTCTGAAATTCCATTTTCAATAGCATCACAGAATACCCCTTCTACTTGAAAAGCCCTACAATAACATTTAGGGTCCCTCTCCATGAGATAATCAAATGCCCTACTATCTAATTCCTTGATCTCTTTCATAGCAGCTTCATGTTTCTGTTTTGTGGTAGCCTTCACAGCCTTCCAAAAAGGCTTCATAAAATGCTCACCTTTGAACCTTGTGTTGAAGTTGGCTAGTATGTGCCTAGCACATAATCTGTGCTCAGCATGAGGAACCCTTTCCTTGATAGCTTCAATTAAACCCTGCCCAATTTACAATGTTAAATCATTATTAAACTATAAAGTTAAGAGTAAACATGAGTAGTACCTTGTGTCCATCAGAGAGAATAGTAAGTCCATTTCCATTGCCTCTTTCAATATCATCCATCAGTAGATCAAGGAACCATTTCCATGTTTCTTTGTTCTCAACAGTTACAACAGCCCAACCTATAGGGAACATGTGATTATTGGAATCCCTACCCACTGCAGCTAAGAGTTCACCCTTGCAAATTCCTTTGAGAAACCATCCATCAATCCCAATGACTCTTCTACACCCCTCTACCCAACCATCTCTTACACCTCTGAAGCATACATAAAACCGTTTGAACATTGTACTTCCATCAGGCATATTGTCCACTTCCATGCTTACAGTTGATCCTGGATTAGCTCTTTTGATTTCAGTGCCATAGTCCCACAACCTACTATAATGCTCTTTCAGAGTGACTTCAATCTCAGACAAAGCAAACTTTTTTGCATTTCTACATTGTCCAATGCTAACTATGATGTTGTATGTGTTTGAGATTTGATCTTTCATCTTCCTCAAAGTAAGCTTGGGGTTTCTATAAGTACATTGAAAAATTGTTTCCCTACCCACTTGTAAGTCACTAAGCCTATTTTAAAAACTCTACCACAGTTATGAGTTGATTTAAGTGACTTGATCTGAAAAGTCCTTTCCTCTTGCATCCAAGAAGCCCATAACCTAAAAGGACATGTAGGTTCTTTACCTTTGCAACACTTCACTAAAAGTCTGTTTTTATCATTCTTTTCATACCACAAATCATAACCATGCTTAACAGCATAGTTGGTAAGACAATGTTTGAGTTCACTAGGATTTGTGAATTTCATACCTAACACAGGAGCCATTTGATCCCATTCTTGCTCAGAATTATGCACAGGGTATACAGGAGGTAGTTGCTCAACAGTAGGATCTTCTTCCTCTTCATCATTTGGGCAAAGTTTGTTCAAAAACATGTCTTTCTTCTGTATACCTTGAATACTTGCTCTTGCCCTTTTCATAGAAAACTCCTCATCATCCAGCTCGTGTTCCCAAACCTCTTTATCTATTACATCAACTTCATCTTCGTTTGACTTGGTATCATCTTCAACTTCAGGCTCTTCCATTTCAATCCAGTCAAACAAGGGTTCACGGAAATGGTCCACATACACAGTTACTTTCTTTTTGTCATGAAGTTACTCAAGAAATTCATGATGATCACAATCGTTTTGCAATGTGGCAAATCCTTGACACAATGTTTGGCCGTCTGGACAATAGTATACATCTTTGCACATCCTTCTAGTAATCAGCTCTAGGTGAGCAATGAACTCGGAATACCCTTTGTCCCTGAAATCAGCGTACCTTATCTCCTTTTTATTTGGATCAAAATACGTAAATGGCCTCGGGAAGAAGTGCCCGTTGTACTGGACTTCAACGACCAATGCATCATCTTTAGCCATCTAATCTGATCGGGGTTGCTCGAAGAAAGAACAGTGAGAGTGAAGAGATAGAGATAGGGGATTTGTCGTGCCCTAATTTATGGAGATAAATAGACACGCAACGCCTTAATAATGTCAACTAATCATCCACATAATGGTTTAACATGAAGAAGCCGGTTAAATGACTATATATAAACGGTTATTAGAACTTTAATGGTGTAATATACACAAAAAAACGTTAAGGACCTAAAATGAACAAATGAGAAACGTTATTACCCTCCTAAGTCATTAACCCCATTTAATATGCACTTAAAGTATAAAATTATCCTAGTTTCTATTTGTGGTATAGTAAGTTTTGTACATGTCATTTTTTAACAAATTAAAAATTTATAAATGGATCAACAATAAAAAAGAATAAAATATTATTGCAACATTTTATTACTTTGACAATAATTTAACTTTTGAAGTTTCAATAATATCAAATTCTATTAGAAAAAAATAAAGAGTTCAAGACTTTTATTCACAATTTAATAAAACATTTCAAAACTTTTATTCACAATTTAATAAAATAGTTCAGGACTCTTATTCATTGTTTAAAAATATACATGAACATTTCATATCATACAAAATCATGTTTTAATATAGTATTTTAGAACGTTCATTTATAATTTAATAAAAGAATTCAGAAATATTATTTATAAAAGGTTCAAAACATACCAGATATTTGTTGGTGGTCGGTTTCAAATCTATATTGTGATAGTAAAGCAGTGGCGGTCGGTTTCATGTCCCCAACAACATCAATTGTTGTTTTTAGTGGTGGTTCATGGTGATAACTTCTGGATCGATATCTGATTTGTGGTGGTGGTTTATGATTCAAATCTGATGAAGATTTCGTGATATCTAATGTAGATCGAGTGAGATCTAATCCAGATCTGGTGATTCACAAGAGATCAGAGAATGATAATTTGTGTTGATGAATGAGATGATGGTAACAGAAGTTGCCGGAGGAGTAGGTAGTGGTGATGTGGTTGACAGACGAGACGGTTGTGGAAGCACCACTAGCTACAACGAAAAGACATGTCTTCATATTTTCTCTCAAGATCTGACCACAAAACAACTTCTTGGCTTTAGATCTTAGAGTTTGCTTTGGTGAAGTCGGCTACCAAAAAACAATCAACGAAACATGAACCACATATCTCAAAGAAGGCGGACATGATGCAGATCTGGAAGGAGATTGTTGTGGTGGATCATCACCGGAAATTCATAGATCTGGAATAGAAAATCGTAGATCTAGAGGCGAATATTATAGATCTGAGCTGGAAATCATAGATCTGAAATCGATTGAAGCTTGTATATCTTTAACGGTAATTTACAGGTGATAGGAGAAGACGGCAGTACACCAAAGATGCATATGAGACAAGGTAACGAAGGTTCCAGATCTGAAATCATTCACTGGTGGTGAAGACGGTGGTGCGGTCACTGATGGAGGTGGTGAGGACGTCATTGGCAGTGGTGGTGGTGGTGAGGACGTTGTCGGTGACCATTTTGACACTTTTGGTACTTACAGTCAATACTTTTATATTTTTTCATAAAAAACACAAAAAATGGTATGGGGCGAAGCCCGGACTTTTCCACTAGTTCTTAATTAAATATAAAACTGATGCAGGGGGCTGTTTAGTCTTGGGCCGGATCAAGACAATGGTGGCAGTTTAGGTTAAAGGTGATTGGATCAAATTGGAATCTCAAGTCAATGTGATGTTTAAGTTTTATCTAGTTGTTTAGTTAATTTATCTTTAGAATTAGCTCCTATTTTGTGGGGGTCATTAGATTACATATAGTTGTCATCGTTATCAGAACTGATTTGTTTTTAGTTTTATTAATTTGAAAATAATAAAGAGATTCCAATTTGTATCTTTCCATCAGCTCAGGGACCGTTCCTGGAGAACGGCATCAGTTTGGTACCAGAGCTCAAGGAAGATTCGACAATGGGAGACCGTGGAGGACGAAGGTATGGGAACCCCGTCGATTCGTCGGCAGAGGCAACGAGGAACACCAACATGATCCACGACACGTTGAAGAGATAGCAAGATTACAACAACAAATCAAGGACCTGGAGATGCAACATGAGGAACGCTTAGAGGAGGGAACGAACACTGATCCTCGCATCTAGGATGATAGGGATTATGTAGACAATCCATTCGCACAAGGTGGGAACCCGTTAGAACAGAGAGAGCGGAAAACAGACCCACTCTGACACTTGGGAATCAAAATCAACGTACCAGAGTTTGATGGGAAAGCAGATCCTGATGTGTTCCTTGATTGGCTTCAAACAGTGGAATGTGTATTTGATTTGCGGGATATATGACATGAGTATAAGGTAAAAATCGTAGCCCTAAAACTCCGTAAATATGCTTCGATGTGGTGGGAAACTGTGAAGAGAAAGCGGAATCAGGAGGGAAAATCAAAGGTAACGACACGGAGAATGATAAAGAAACTTTTGTGGGAAAGGTTTTTGCCACCTAATTTCCATCAAGAGGCATTCTTAGACTATCACAACGTAGCACAAATATCATCAACAGTAGAAGAGATCATAAGTAAGTTCAACATGTTGCGCATAAGATGCGGGGTAGAAGAAGAGGAGGAACAAATTATAGCTCGATTTTTTGGGGCCTTAAAGCCCAAAATTGCAGATGTTGTCCAACTACAACCTTATTGGTCCTTCAACGAAGTGTGTCAACTAGCACTCAAAGTTTAAAAACAGATGAAAACCAAGGCCAAAACCACTATGACTCGACCCACATTCCAGAAAACTGAAACCCAGAAAGGAACACCAGACGGAACCCCAGCGAACCGGTTCAACCCGATTCGGTCTGAAGGCTCGAGTAATCCACCCGTCATTTCGACCCGAAACCCACCGCGTTGTTTTAATTGTGGAGGATTAGGGAATTTTGCTTGCGACTTACCCAACACCCAACTCGTGACTCTCACAGAGGACACTTTACCAAAATACGATTCTGATGGTGAAATTCATGAAGATGAGGACACCGAAATTATTTTTTCCGGCAAAAGAGAAGCCCTCATCGCCCAGTGTGTTCTTAGCAAGAATCCTAGCCTCCCCACCGACGATAATCGATGGCTCCAAAATAACATCTTTTGCACCCGGTGCATCGTAAAGGGTAAAGTGTGTACCGTCATAATTGATGGAGGAAGCTGTGAGAACATGGTAGCGGAGGTAATGGTTGAAAAATTGGGTCTGAAGTTCGAAGATCACCCAGAGTCGTACCAGTTAACATGGTTAAAAAAGGAAATGTAGTGAAAGTCAAGCATTGGTGCCTGATTATTTTAGCATTGGGTCCCGTTATTCGGACGAAGTTTGGTGTGAGGTTATTCCTATGGACGCATGCCATATTCTCTTAGGTCGTCCTTGGCAATACGATCGGCGTGTAAGTCATGATGGGTACTCGAACACCTATACTTTTAAAAAGGCAGTAGTTAACATCAAATTGGTGCCATTAGACATACGGGAATTGGGAACTGAAGCACTCATCGTGACCAAGTCGGAATTCTAAGATTTTACGAGGACCACTAAACCACCTTTTATGTTTGCCTTAGTCATGATCGAAGCCAATCCCCACGTTGCCGAACTGCCACATGCAGCCAGACAGCTTCTCCGGAAGTTTTTGGATGTCTTACCAACTGAAATTCCTGCAGGACTCCCTTTGGTACGTGAAATCCAACATTGCATCAATGTAACGCCCGTAGATCCGGGCTAGTCAATTTAGAGGCAATAGGGGTCGAAAACGACTTTTCGAAAAAAGATTATTAAGAATAAATAATCTCAACCAAGTTTTATTATATGTTACAAGGTTTCCGTACATATAAATAGCGTCGAAATCCGAGTTATAACGATGAAGTTATGGCCCGTCAAAGTTTTACGACAAAACCGACAAGGCACCGGGAGAAGTAAATAGTGAATTCATGATAGAGCTTCTTTTAGCCTTAGTAATCTAAATGAAAATCGTAGAATATGTTAACCTGAGAGCGTCCATAAAAAGAACGCCCAAATCTGACTTCTTATGAAGAAGTTATGATTTTTCAAAGTTTCGGCTTAGCGGTGTACAGCCCGAAGTTCGAGTATTAGATCGAGCGGTTTTTAGCCGACACAACCTAAACGAGAATCGAAGATCTTGTTATTAGTAGTGTAACGATAAAAAGACAGACGAAAACGGACATCGGATAAAGAAGTTATGAGATTTTAGCGGACCAATCCTGTCCCAGCGTGTTAAAAATATAACTTTAAAAATAAAGTCAAAATTAGCCGATGGAGTCTACACGAAAGTTTTAGAGTACGTCTCCACCTACGCGTGGATATAAATAACGTCAAAAACTGAGTTCGTATGAACGAGTTACAAATTATAATAGCATATTTACGTATTAAAATAAAGTATAAATCATATATACGTACACACACACACACACACACACACATATATATATATATATATATATATATATATATATATATATATATATATACATATATATATATATATACACACATATGTATATATCATTAGAAAGGTATCGACGATGTGGTCATTATAAGAGTAATGTTGAGTTCTTTCGACATTAGTTTAGTGCAAATATCGTTAAATATGTTTAAAATAGTATTATGAAGGGGTGTTTAG